CAACTTGGTTAAGAAGTGCTTTGATGGTGTGTTGATGACAAAAATCTCATTAGAGTGGATTCAAAAGAATAGGAAGAGACCAAGCGGAGCAGGAAGTATAAAATGACTCTTTCAAAGAATTTTTTTTTCTGATAAAGGGGAAGGATTGGGGAAAATTGAAAGGAAATGTGGGCTTAAATAATTCTTTTATGGTGGAAAAATATGATTTCATATTTGAATACTGAAGGTATTTAGAAGGTGCAGGGGAGAGAGGAGAATTAGAGGGTATACCTTTTGGATGAGACGTGAAGAAATGCATATGGGGCACGTGTGAAGGGGTGGCCTCTGATGGGAGACACCCGGTTGTAGTAGTTTGTAATAATAAGAGGGTGGGCTGCATATTTGACCAGATGTAGGCTGGTGGGTAGATGTGAAGGTAGGAGCATGGACATTCATTTCTGATTGTGTCTATTTTCTCATTGTAACAGGATGTAAAATCATTAGTTGAGAGTAAAGATGAGAATAGGTATTTGAGATTCAAGGAGGTAGGAAACATATAATAGACATCTCAGAGAAGGGAAGAATAAAGGTAACAGGAATACAAAGTAGGATTCTTGAACAGGTCTAATGGTTCATATTTGTCCTGAATTTAAAATGAGGCTGGTGTGTGTTTTTCTCCAACACATTCATTTGCACGTGTGCAGGAGTAGAGTGAGAGGAAAACTGAATTTACCAGGGCTCAGGTTTGGCAGGAAAGTATGCAAATGGGAGAGAGTTTAAGAGAGTGCTAGAAAATATTGCAATCTAATAGAGAGGTAGGCATGAATGAATGGACAGTGAAGAAGTGGCAGATTAAATTGAGAGCTTCCCAGAGGCAGATAAATTATTGAAAAAGGAACACTAGTGGTAATGGGCTGGGAGAACAAGATGTGAGGCTTGGAACCAATCATTTGGCTGGGCCTTGTCATTGTTATTGACATCCTGGGTTATGACCACTTACGTGTGAGATAAGACGATAGGCAGTCCATGCTTGTTGGAAGACAAGAGTCAATGAACTGAGAGTCCATTACTGGAAGCATCATTTAGGTAGACAACAACATTTAGGTGAACAAAAAATAATTTTGGCAGGAGGAGCCTTGGAGAGCGTGACAGTAAGACAAGAGTTTATATATTCAAGAAATACAGAGAGATAGCTTGGGAGTCCGTAGCCGTCTGCAATAGGAGGCAGAGCTTGAAGACATGAGCTTCAAAGCTTGCAAGGTGTTGGAGTTTAGGAAGAAAGGCAGGACAAAGATCTTCAACGGCAACAAGTACAAGAGGACACTTAGTCTTCCTCCAAGTCATATAATACAAAGGTGTACAAGGGATATAGGAGAGAAAACAGATGCCATTGGCAAGTCTCCAAGGGGAGGAGGTATCCTGGGGGGAGAGAATTTTAGTTAGAAAAAAGAGGAGGAAACGTTTAAAAATTGATTTGAAAAAGTAGAATGACAACTATGAGTTCCACTCGGAAGGGTTTTGTGAATAAGAGTAGAGTAAGAAATGGGTTCAGATTAGGAGATGTATAGAGTGGTATGCAGACAATAGTCTGAGCAATTAAGAATGGATTGTTGATGGAACCAGGGACAAAGAGCATGACAGGATCAGTGTTTACGGCTTTTTATTGAGAAGTTGGGCACTCTACCTATGAGTTCCTCCTACCCTGCAAGACATACGCTTTTTTTTTTTTGAGTAGTAGTTTCATTCTGTTGCCCAGGCTGGAGTGCAGTGGCATGCTCACAGCCACTACAGCCTTGACCTGCTGAGCTCAGGCGATCCTTCCACTTCAGCCTTCCAAGTAGTTGGAACTACAGACGCACGCTACCACGTCCGGCTAATTTTTGTGATTTATTGTAGAGACGAGGTCTCATCAAGTTGCCCAGGCTGGTTTCAAACCCCCGGGCTCAGGCAATCCTCTCACCTTGGCCTCCCAAAGTACTGAGGTTACAGGCTGAGCCACCACGCCTGGCCAGCACACCTATGTTAAACTATAAGTTCTACCAATATATTTTTAACTCATGTCATTTTCAAATATTAGATTAGATCATTTGTACAGAACTGTTTGCTTAGCTAGGTAATCAAACAACAATATATTAAGTTCCACATAACTATTGTATATTCAACCTGGATAATTTGTATATACAAATAATAATCATTTCCAGATCACAAATTATTAAAGCTGGAAGAAAAAAAAAAATGCACTATTTTGCCAGATCCTTAGATAAGCTTTTCAACTGATACTGTCATCATAAGGCATTTATTGAAACAAGTAAATTGTTTAAATACAAAGTATAACACTTTAAAAAGTACTCAATGATATTTCTTATTCTTTAAGTTGGGCAAATTATTTTATCAGTGTGGCATTAAGATTATCAGCAATTTCTAAGATACTATGTTTAAGGCTCTATTTCTCTGAAACTAAGAAGTGCAAACATGAGTTTGAGGCAACTCCTGAGTTATTTTGGTTTTTATTTGGGCACTGACTGAACATTTTAGATTTACAAAGGACAAGACACACATGAAGTTGTCAGGTGGTTTTTTCATCTTCCGAAAATTTCCTCTCCTAAATGGGAAATCTTATTTTGCTTTATTTCTATCTTTTCTTACTTCTTTTTGAAACCCTAATTGCTACTGAGATACCTAATTCAAATGACATCAGGTAGGAATTTTTTGACAGTAATCAGCAAATACCTCTAAACAGTGATTTTGAGTATTGTTTAGTTTCTTTGATAAGTCAACAGCTTACTTAAAAGAAAGAAAGAAAAGGAAGGGGAATAGAAGAAGAAAAAAGTAAAAGTAGAAGATATATAACTTAACTCAGAGGGTTTACTTAAATGCACATTTAAACTTCATAGCAAAAAATTGTAATTTTAGTAATAATTCAAATATTGCTTAATTCAAATAACCTAACAGTTTTAGTTTGCTGTTTGTTCTGTCATGGAATAAGCCTATCTGTCTATTTAAATAAATCTTACGTATTTATTTGCTATCAATATGTTTCCTCCCAGGAATAGAAGACAGAAGGGAATTGGGAGAGAAGTGTTTCAAATTTATTTCAATATGCATTTTAGTACCTACGTATTGTATTTCTCCAATTCTACACCATCTCAGAGGGAAGAGGAAGAGCTAAAAAGGAAAGCTAACCCCTGGAATTCTAAGTATTGTTGCTATTTTCTAGAACTTTTCACAACATAGTGATAGGTTAAAGGCCTTAATTTATTGCCAGAAATGTACTCTTTTGGCAACTTCTCTCTTTCTCTCTCTCTTTATATATATGTATATTTGTATAAGCCCAAATTCTAGAATTTAGTTTAGGATTGCGGAATCACATAAAAACAAAAGGAACATTTCAAACCTAGTCTCACAGGGTTCTGGGGTTCTTAACACAAGACAAGGAAGCCTAGTAGAAGGTGTCATTTCTGTTTTAACAAGATTTCCCTTTTACCTGTTTTATAAATTGGGACTTTTCATTAAAAAAAAGAAAAGGGGGTGGGTAATGGGTTTCAAAACTTAAAAAAAGATCTTGTGTTATACCCAGCATCCCTGGGCTCTCACTTAGGTATCTGATCTGTGCCATATCATTCTTAAAATAAACTTTGATCTGCATGTTAAAATCCTCACTATGGGAGGCTGAGATGAAAAGATTGCCTGAGCCTGCGGTTCAAGACCAGCCTGGGCAACATGGTGAGACTTCGTCTCTACAATTAAAAAAAAATTAGCCGGGCATGGTAGTTCTGGCTATTTGGAAGACTGATGCGGAGAGATCACCTGAGCCCAGCTGGTCAATGCTGGAGTGGCTGTGTGCCACTGCACTCCAACCTGGGCGACAGAGTGAGACTCCAACTCAAATAATAATAATAAATAAAAATCCTTAATAAGCAAAGCCAAAGTATCATACTTCAGGTTCCATTGTGTAACATATAAATTATTATATGAACATGTAAAGCTTAATGTCTTTTTTTCCCTTTTATTATTTTTTTTAATTTTAAAGATGTGGGATACAATTCAGGGTTAGGTATACAAATGTTCATTATGCAGGTACCGTTGTTGATGAGGTATGCCAAGCTTAATGTCTTCGTTGATCTTGAGTTGATTCTTTCTGTAATGCAAAGAAAGACTGCTCAGGCAAAAAAGAAATTGAACTAGTACTTGAGACTTCAGGTCATATTCCAGCTTTAGTGGTTTTGTGAAATAAGCCTCAATTTCTTGCCAGTAAAATAAAGCTAATAAAACATGTCATGTCTTTCTTCAAAAAGTGAAGTTGATATTATAGATGTCAAATAAAATGTTAAATGAAATAATGCATGAGATTTTTGTGGAAGTGTTGCAAACTGGAAATAAAAGTATATAAGCCTCTTTTCATTTATAATCAATTAAAAAACAAGAAATACATATCTTATATTTATCCAAGTGCAAATGCAGACACCAGTGGGTATTAATTCTGCACAAAAAGTTCATTTAAAACATTTATTTTTTTCCATGAACTTATTTTATTTCTAGACTTTCTGGCGATTTCTAGCTACTCTTTAGAATGTAAACCTCCCACACTAGACTGTGGCTTTCTGTACACATAGCTTGTGTTCATAGATTAAAGCGTGTGATAATAATTATCACTTGATCTTCTCTGACTTACAAATGTGGCCGTTTCATTTAGCTCAGCCTAATAATTCAGTGTTGTATTTCTAGCACAATATCCAGCTCCGAGCAGAAGCTAAAAAATTTTGTTGAACTGAACTATTGAATTGAACTTGGAAATAAACCTCCTTTCAAAATGATTATGCTTCAACAAGAGGAATAGGTAAATGTGTCAGAGATGAGAGGGAATCGAATTGCCAATGTTTTGCACTCTTTTTTCCCCCTCCTAGGTCTCTGGGATAGGTATGTGCACATAAAAAGCAAAAGGAGAAGGAACTCTAACCTGATTATGGATTTTGGAGAAAGACTATTCAACATACAAAAAGAAAAATAAACGAGTAGACAGCCCTCGGGAATAATGCCCTTTTGCCACAATATAATTAATACTTCCTGTGTGAGAAACAACTGGTCGAATGACGTCCGTGCTTCCCTGTACAGTTTAATGGTGCTCATAATTCTGACCACACTGGTTGGCAATCTGATAGTTATTATTTCCATATCACACTTCAAGCAACTTCATACACCAACTAATTGGCTCATTCATTCCATGGCCTCCGTGGACTTTCTGCTGGGGTGCCTGGTCATGCCATACAGCATGGTGAGATCTGTGGAGCACTGCTGGTATTTTGGAGAAGTCTTCTGTAAAATTCACACCAGCACTGATATTATGCTGAGCTCAGCCTCCATTTTCCACTTGTCCTTTATCTCCATTGACCGCTATTATGCCGTGTGTGACCCGTTGAGATACAAAGCCAGGATCAATATCTTGGTTATTTTTGTGATGATCTTCATTAGTTGGAGTGTCCCTGCTGTTTTTGCATTCGGAATGATCTTTCTGGAACTAAACTTCAAAGGAGTGGAAGAGATGCGTTTCAAACACGCTTACTGCTATGGGAGCTGCTCTGTCTTCTTTAGTAAAATATCTGGAGTACTGGCCTTTATGACTTCTTTCTATATCCCTGGATCTATTATGCTATGTATCTATTATAGAATATATTTCATAGCCAAAGGGCAAGCAAGGTCAATTAATAATGTGAATCAGAAGCTTCAAATTGGGATGGAAAGGAAAAATGGAATTTCACGAAGCAAAGAAAGAAAAGCTGCAAAGACATTGGGGATTGTGATGGGAGTTTTCCTACTATGCTGGTGTCCCTTCTTTGTCTGTACAGTCATGGATCCTTTCTTGGACTACACTATTCCACCCACCTTGAACGATACATTGATTTGGTTTGGCTACTTGAACTCTACGTTTAATCCAATGGTTTATGCATTTTTCTATCCTTGGTTTAGAAAAGCACTGAAGATGATTCTATTTGGTAAAATTTTTCAAAAAGATTCATCTAAGTGTAAATTATTTTTAGAATAAAATCCATAGCATTATTGTATTTTTTACTATTTTGCAAAATGTTTCCTGATCATATTTGTGACAACATAAGCACATGTAGACAGTACAACCAACAACATGCACCAACTATATGGATTTTTTAAATCAGCTATTTGAGTTTATCTGGTGAGATAAATGATGATCTCTATAGCTCACTTCTTATTTGGGACATAGTGGGAGTAATATTTGCCATTCTTAAAATGCATATTGAAGCTCTGCAAATCTAAAACTTAAGGGCCTACATTTTAAAGAAATGTTCATGTCCTTAGATGAGCTACTTTTGGTAAAGTCAACTAAAAGCCCACATTAAATGTTATTACTAAATAATTGCTTACCTATGATTTGTTATTTATATACTTATTAATATATATTTCAATCTTTAAATATCTTGATCTTCATCTTTTAAAAATAGGTTTTTCTGATATTCATACTTGTAAGGAAATTTGAAAAATAAAAGAAAATATAAAAATATTATATAAAAAAATGAAAAATTTTAAAAAGTTACTGATAGCTTACTTCCTGGGAATAATTATATCATTTAAAATACATAAAAATATCATTTTTGATGGTTGTGTAATGTTACTTGGTGTGGATGTACAAAGATTTTCTTTAACCATTTTTCTAGGATCAGCCTCCTCGGTTGTGTATACTTTTTAAAAAAATAGAAATTAAATGAAATTTCTGCCTGTTACCTGCTACTGAAGTCATGAAAATGTCTAGGAGTTTACCATATTTTAAGGTTATGTCTTGCATGATAGGACCCAAAATATAGGCTATCTGGAATGACACAAATTCACTTTGCTGGCTCCAGGGTACACAGGTGACAGAAAGATAGGCAAACATCCATCAAAGCAGCTAAACATGAGGGATAACACGAGGTATATTCAGAATAGACATACCATACCTATTAAGATAGCATATAGAAAAAGAAAAACAAGTAATAAGTAGTTTCAAATAAGATTCCTTGATAGGAAGTGGGCAACATTTTAAATCATACATACTATCTGCAATTTAAGCTGTTTCTTCTATAGACTTTACATATTCTGTTTCAGGTTGACTATCACCAAGGATATGTATTTATTTAATAATAGTGACTTCTACTCATGAGTAAGTTCAGATAAGGTAGCTAATATTAAATGACACAAAATGTACACTACTGCATATAAATTTCAGTATACAACTTTGGTAATCTCCTGAGGATATTTTAAATCCTTCCATCTATTGTAATCTGTTTCTGGACTATATATTTTTTCTCACTGATCTGGAAAGAGTTTTATTCTAGTACATTTTGAAAAAATTATGGGTTGTCTTTTAATTTAGTATATGATAATGCAAATTTACCCTAATCGGTTTCAAAAACAACCTTGACTTTTTTCACCAGTTTGTAAGACCAGTTTGTCAAACATTAAAAAAGAAACACAACCTTGGGAGGCTGAGGTGAGTGAATTGCCTGAGCCCGCGGGTTCAAGACCTGCCTGGGCAACTTGGTGAGACCTCATCTCTACAATAAATCAAAAAATTAGCCGGGTGTGGTAGTGCACGCCTGTAGTTCCGGCGACTTGGAAGGCTGAGGCGGAAGGATCGCCAGAGCCCAGCAGGTCGAGGCTGTGGTGGCCGGGAGTGGCCACTGCACTCCAGTCCAGGCGACAGAGTGAGACTCCAACTCAAAACAACAACAACAACAACAAAAAAAAACAAAAACAAAAACAAAAGAAACACAGAGTTCTCTATGCTTTACAGCAAATGTAGTTTTCTTTATTTGCTCCCATACTTCCCTCTTAAGATTATTCCTAAATGTTTTGTACTTTTTTCTGTTTGTGTTTTGTCTATGCCGAATAACTATTTTAAAAAATCATTAATGTTTGTATTTAATCATTATTGCTAGTATGCAATAAAGTTTATATTAGTTTTTTCAGTTGACTTGTTTGTTTGTTTTTTCATTTTAAAGATGTGGGGTGCAATTCAGGGTTAGGTATACAAAAGTTCATTACACAGATTCCCTTGTTGATGAGGTGTGCCCCTGTCGGCAGTTTCCCACTACTGCCAATCCCACCCCCTTCTTCCCTGACAGTTTTCCACTACTACCAATTCCTTTCTTATGATAATTGTTCAAGGTCCACTTATGAGTGAGAACAGGTGATACTCAGTTCTTTGTTTCTCCAACAGATCACTCAGTATTATAGACTCCAAGTCTATCCAAGTTGCTGCGAAGTTCATAATTTTGTCCTTTATGGCTGTGTAATACTCTTTTGATGAGCAGCATTATACAAAATCATTATGCAAAATCAAACATTGCTAAGTTTTCTATTTTTTCCAATAATTATTATTTACATTCTGTACTGTACTTTGTTAGTCACTTGTGAGCAACATTGATAATGGTGATAAGAGTCATCCTTGTCTTATATATATTTTAAATCACTGTTGATTTTGTAATATTGATTTTGCATTTCTCCTGGGACAAGTTCATGACTCAAATAATTTGACATTTTCACTCAGTATTAAAGCCTTTATAAACTATATTTTTTGGAGTTTCTATTTTTAATACTCATAAGAAATAACCAACTCAGCAAAACAGGAAGAAAAGTTTGTTTTGTCTTTCCATATTCCTAGCTTTACTGTAGCTTTCATATTCTCATGTGTGAGGTATTTCTATCTTTTGGTTGTCTAGATGTCCATTTACCAACTGGAGTCCAATTAACTTTTGAGGATTTTTTTTCCAACTAGTTATAATCTGTTGGAACTGTAATGAAGAGACTGATCTCCTGTTTCCCCCTTTAATTAAAACAGATGAGTGGGTAACCTGAGATAAAATTTTAGAAGGTCTTTTTCTAGAATTTGAATTTCCAGCAAAGGACAAAAGACTGTGATCTTTAGCAGGATAATTATCAGAAAACAATAAAAACATAAGTGTCCATTCCATCCAGGTGACAAAATCATGACTAGACTGCTTGAAGCATTGTCAGGGTTCTTGTTTCACAGATTCCAGAATTGTCTTTTTGTCTGCCTGTCCATTTTCAAACTGAGTGATCTCGCCTCAGGAGATTTGCCTTGGAGAATAGCTTTGGTTCATGGAAAGAACCTAACTTGATATACAAGATTATGGTAACTACCAAGAAAGTAATTTCAACAACATGATGCTCCTTCTCCAAGTAAAGACAACTTCTAGTCAAAAGAGTCTCATTTTCTATTTTCAAAGCAGAGTATTCACATATATTTCCTCTCAGGATCAGATTTTTTAAAGTGTTAGCAAGGAAGTTTGTTGAAACCAATTTATTAATGAAAATGAAATCATTTCCCAAAGAGTTAAAGAGTTTGAAGGATGGCAGATACAAATAGAAACAACTTGCTGATGTGCTGAAACTTCCTCAGTTTAGGATACTTAAAAACTGTCTGAAATCAGTTGAAACCAATATGGCCAACTGGAGTTTTATGAATTTGCTGACATCACAACCCAAATTTCCACTGCATGTTTCACACCATCTCCTCCCGAATTTGCACATCCATGAAGTAGTATGAAGAGATAACTGCATGCTCAAGGACTTTCCAACTTTCCCCTTTCCTTCCACCAGTCACCTACTAATCCCAGAATCCACTCCCTAAACCTTTTCTAATAAAATTACTGCCCTAAAATCTGCATAGAAAGACAGATTTGAGCTGGATTCCCGCCCCCTTGTTGGTCAACTTTTGATAGAGATGTTTTTCTTTTCTTCAAAACCCAATGTTATAACATTGGCTTCTAGTACATTGGGTAGCAAGCCTCTTTTGCTTGGAAACAATAATAATAACATCTTAAGAGATCAGTGAACTGGAAAAACCATCCTAATTTTAAACTTGGTTCTTGATGTCAATAATCTAGTCTTTGGAGATACATAAACATTTTCCAAAAATAAGGCAAACCAGATGAACTCCAATCCACTGTAGATTCTGGTAAGCCACAGTTTCCCTTTAGTTTTACATTGTCAACAAGAGCTTGAACATTAATTATATAAAGATACATGAAGAATAATTTATGTTTTTAAATTTAGCAGATGATGAAGTGTACCAACAAAATGATTATACAGTAGTTGAGATATGCACTTGAATAACTTAGAAATCACAAGAATCAGATGGAGATTTTCTTTTGTTTTTTGTTTTTTTGTCTTTTGATTTTTTTTTTTTAATTGAGTTGGAGTCTCACTCTGTTGCCCAGACTGGAGTGCAGTGGCTGCTCCCAGTCACCGCAGCCTCGACCTGCTAGGCTCCAGCGATCCTTCCGCCTCAGCCTTCCAAGTAGCTGAAACTACAGGCACGATCTACCATGCCCAGCTAATTTTTGATTTATTGTAGAGATGAGGTCTTGCCAACTTGCCCTGGCAGGTCTCGAACCCGCAGGCTCAGGCAATCCACTCACCTCAGGCTCCCAAAGCGAGGGATTACAGGCTGAGCCACCGAGCCCAGTTGTCTTTTGATTTTTTTAAAAAACTAAAATACATATGCATTTTCCAAAATGTTTCAACATAGCTCATGGAGTGCGTGGCCAGCTGTAAAAAATATTTAAAGTAATTTTGTCTTTGATAGGTCCTCATCTTCTTTCCAACAACCCCTCTCTTCCTAAAACCACTTTCCAAATCCTTTAAGCTCCCAGTGAATTTATGCTGCTCTAACATTCCAACTGAATCATTCCATTCAGTCTGGTTCTATTGCGAATCATATTAATCTCATTTGTTTCTGTCTTCAATTTTTCCTAGTTGGAAGACATCTTAGACTCACACAAGTTAAAAAGTTCTCAGGGGCTGGGCTCAGCGGCTCAGCCTGTAATCCCAGCACTTTGGGAGGCCAAGGTGAGTGGATTGCCTGAGCCCACGGGTTCGAGACCCACCTGGGCAACTTAGTGAGACCTCATCTCTACCAAAAAAAAAAATTAGCCGGGCATGGTAGCTCACGCCTGTAGTTCCAACTACTTGGAAGGCTGAGGTGGAAGGATCACCAGAGCCCAGCAGGTC